AAGGATTGAATATCTTTGACTTTTTTCGGCATCGGAAATTCTTTTATTGCTGTTAACTTTGATGGGTCTGGAGATATTCCGTTTTCGGAAATAATATGGCCCAAATATATTACCTCCTTGCGTAAAAATTCGCATTTGTCTGGCTGTAATTTTAAGTGAGTTTTTCGCAGTCTTTGCATAACTTCTTTTAATCGCTTGTTGTGCTCTTGTAAACTTGACCCGTATATGACGATGTCATCCAGGTAGACTAGGCATCTAAGTCCTTGTATTCCCATTAACACTTCATCAGCCTTTGAAAAGTCGCTGGTGCATTCTTTAATCCAAACGGCATTCGATTAAATTCGTAATGTCCGTAGGGACTTGAGAAAGCTGTTTTATTTTTATCTTTTTCAGCCATTGGGATTTGGTGATATCCTGATGCTAGATCTAATGTACTGAAATATTTTGCATTTCCCAGTTGGTCTAGAATATCAGTAATATTAGGCAACGGGAATGAGTCGCCTATGGTTAATTCATTTAATTTCCGAAGTCTATGACTACTCGGAGTTTCAGTTTTCCTGATGCATCTGCTTTCTTTGGCACTACTAATAATGGTGCGTTCCATTGACTCGTGCTTGTCCTGATAATTTCATTTTGCAGCATTTCTTGTACTTGCCGATTTACCTCCGCCTTATGTTTCTCGGGTAATCGGTATGGTTTTACATTCACCGGCGCGGTGTCGGCACGCGTGCTTATCTCATGCTCGACCGTCGCGGTGCATGTCAGTGGTTCTCCTTCCAGATGGAATATTTCATTGTATTCTTCACAGATTTCTAACAGTGTTCGTTTTTCTTCTTTATTTAAATGTTGAGTTCGCAGTAGTTGTCAAATTTGTTGTTTACGAGAAAGTATTTTTAGCCTTCCCTTTTGTTTCTATTTTATTTATTTGCTCTGTATCTTCCTCCATGTCTTCTAGTGTGACTATTGGAGTGGATATTTCGATCTCTTTGTCTGTCGTGTTTATCATACTCACAGGACATGAAAAATTGTTCCACCAGGCCGTTTCCAATATATGTATCCTGGGGCTGCTTCGCTTGTTCGGACTATTCCTATATGATTCTGATTTACAGCTGCTTTAATAATTGTCTCGCTGCGAGGTTTCAGAATTATTTTTCTGCATGGATGTAATTTTAATATACTATCCTTTATTTTTATTTGGTTTCGTTTGTAATCGCAGGCTGCTGTTTGTTTTTTAAGGAAATCTATTCCTAAAATTCTTTCATGCTCTATTGCTATGTCATCCTTTACGACATAAAATGCATGCTTGATAGCACGTTTGTTGAGTATAATTGTCGCGTACATTTTACCCTAGTGTGTATAATTTATGTCCACTGATTCCTGTGAGTGCAATTTTTTTTTCGTATACAGGTGTATCGTCCTTTAAATTTTTCAATTTAATTAGGGAAATTGTTGATCCGGAATCGTACAGCATATTTATCGTTTCGCCTTTTACTTCACGGATTGGTAGTGATACCTGCAGTAGCTCGTCCTTGGCTGTGTGCGTGTTTTTTATATGCGTCACGCAATACTCTAAGGCAGGTCGCGGTTGTTTCCTTCTCGCTTCCTCCTCTTCTTCTTCTTCGCTATCACTTGGGGAGTCGGTGCTCTTTTTTCTCTGTCTATGCGGAGTCCTTTGCTCACGATCGTTTTCTTTATGTTTTATTTGATTAACCGACTTAGAATTACGGTTATTATTAGTGTTATTTATTTTAGGACGTCCGTTCAGGCTCCAGCATTCCTCGCGGGTGTGTCCTGTCTTTTTACAATATTTGCAAAATTTATTCAAAGTATTTATTCTCGTGGATTTTTCCGGTTTTGGTAATGTATATTTATTACTGCTTCGACAATCGCGTCCGTAGTGTCCAGATTTTCCGCATTTATAACATTGTATGTTAGTTTCTCGGGTTGGTCGCGTTTTCAAGTCGAATTTATTTTTATAGGAGAAGCCGGATGCTCGTGTTACAGACGGGCCGATAAGCTTCTCCTCCGCGCTCGCGCCATTTATCGCTTCTTGGAGCGAAGTATATCTTTGTGATCGCACAAGAATTTTTAATTCATCGCGTAATCCGATTTGAAAATTTATTAGCGCTTGTTTTTTAATGGTTTCTTGTATTGCTTGTTTAAATGAAGGAAGCCGTTCTTCTCCTTCCACCATGGACTCATATAGTTTCATGGCTAACGTATCGACACGTTGGCCGAATGCATGGGCGGTTTCGCTTGACTTTTGTTTTAAAGAATTAAATTCTATCTGTAAGTGTGTTGTACTTTGCTTCGCTTGATAGCAAGTTTTGAGTTGTGTTTTTAATTCTTCAAATGTCTGGATATCTCGCGTTTCGAAATCTTGCATGGCTTTACCTCTTAATTTAGTATATAAAATTGCTTGTATTAACGATTCTTCGTCCGCGGGATTAATATTTTGTACCGCGTACGTACAAGCGTTTAAGAATTCTTGTAATCTATGTCGCGTCGTCCCATCAAACTCGGGAATCATTGTTCGCGCTTCTTTTAATGATACATAGTGCGGGGCTGCGCTACGTCGGTTTCGTATATCGCGTTGAGTGCGTCCGTACGTTACGTCGAGTGGGACAGTGTTTGCATTTACTCGCGTTTCGTTTAAATTTGCTTGTGCGGTTTGTATCTCTCGCATTTGTTCGCGCATGTACTGCATTTCGGTTTGCATTTCGCGGAAACTGTGTACGAGTTCGGCGAGTAATACGTTACTCGTTCCTTCGGCCGGCTGACCTGCGTCCTCATAGGCCGCGGCTGCGTTTAGTTCGGCCTGTTGCGCTCGCATGCGCTCGATTTCTCTATCGACGGCTTCGTTTTCCATATTCACTTGCGCACGTGGCTCGAATAAACTAATATCAACTGATATCGGTGAATAATTTCTTCGTACTGTAACGCGACTTGGTCCGTCTTGTACCGAATTATCGTTATTACTCGGTTCGTGTTCCTCAGACGAATTGGAACTCGAATAATGTTTTTCTAAATTTTTCCGCACGCTTCTACGAATATCGCGAGCAGCTTCTTCTGCTACTCGTATCGGAGTTACAGTTCCGAATCTATTTGCCAATCGGGCTGGCACGCTCAGAAATCGCGGACTCTTAAATTTTACTTGTTTTGACGGTGCTGACATTTAAATAAAGTTCGACTTACAGTAGTAGTACGGTGATTCGCATGGTCGTAACTTATCGGGTCGCTTATCGTATCGCTCGACTGTTGATGCTGCTGGTGGGTCGTTGTCCCGCGTTGGTGCGCTGTCCGTCGGCGATGCGTTGTCCGTCTGCGTTGCGTTGCCTTGGCCGTGGATCGACGTTGGTCCTTGAGCGCTGGTGTTTCCTTTCGGCTTTCAGCTGCTTGGCCGTGATTTCCTTATCACTGTCGTCCGTGTGTGTTGCGTGCTGGTTGAGACTATCTGCTTTAATATAGCAGTTGCTCTTTCCAGTTTATTAATTTTGTATTTTCTTTTTGTTGCAGGCGTTAAGGATCCAGGATGGTCCTCGATCTCGGCTATCCCACTGCTGCCACCAATTATGTTGTGCCGGACGCGGCACGGGGTGTGGGGTAGCCGGGTGTCGCAACCAAAACTTTCGGGCCGTTTCGTCTACAACGTTTTATTATAAAATCCTTTATACAAATAGATTCTCTTATCCTATTTTTAGTTGGTTTCTTTCGAGCCTTCTTTCCTTAATCGTCCTTTCCTTAATCGCTTCGTTCTTAGATTTAGAGCGTTTAACAATTTCGTCGGGTGATTTATCGCACAGTATAGTGGTTAGCCCTCGATCTCGTACTAGTTGTTGATTGATTTATAATTAACGACTGTCCGCCGCGGATTCGCGGTGGACGGCTTTTATTTCCTCGGTTTCGGGGGTGTTTTGGAGGGGATCGCCTAGCGACATGACCATGTATGGTCATGGGGATTCTTCGTGGCGTCCAAAGTCCAAATGCAAACGAAGGAGGTTCAAAGTCGAATCCCTTCGTTAGCGTCTTTCGCGTTTCCGGCGAGCGTTCTCGCGCGTGGTTTGCTGAGATGGCGATTTTGCACGGTTCGCGAATGTTCTATTATAATGACATAATAAGTTATAGTCTCTCGGACTATAACAGTGTGTATATGTATATATATTATAGAGACAATTGTTAGACATAATTATTTAATGTTAACAAAAAAAGATGACATGAATTACTTACTCGATTACAAACACTACTTAATGTTTCTTTCTACCGGCATAATACATTAGGCACATGAAAACTTGAAATAATTAAATCTCGTAAATTATTACACATTGACATTGTACTATGTATAAATATTATATAATGAAGAGTAATTTTTTATATATGATTAAATTAGGTCAAAATCCATACATAATTATGTCTACATAATTATACATAATTAAATATAAACTTGTTTCTGAGTTTATGAATTTTTTATGTTTATTTCAACAGTAATTTGGAAGAGTAGCATTGAAAACGATGTCCATTTTAGGTCTTTTTTTTAGTATTATTTTGAACGTCCGAAGTTGTGACAAATGGACGCCTTATGGGCATTCAATGGATGTTCGTTGAACTTAATTCACACGTCTTTTGGATGTCCCAATGTCCGAACTCGGACATCCACTGGACATCAATGGTACGTGCATGTATTATCTAGGTATTTCAGAAGCGAAGAGAGAACCGTCGTAAAATTCAAACAGTGTATTAAGTATACTTTGGGACTCTGTACAATATATGTCAGAATCAAAATTTTTCGAACTGTGTAACCTAAGTAAAACTATGTAACCTAAAGTAAACATTTATATAACATTTTTTTATATAAAATTTGTAATGTCTTATTTTTTGAAAAACATTTAATTATATTCCAATTTTCTTATTGCGAAGGAAGAAAAAAAAGAAATATAACTTTATATAGCAAACTTTTTTATTTTCATAATTAATAGAAATATTAAACATTCTTATATACCCCACTATTAATCAAATCTTGGTATACAAATCAGAAATTTTCTCATTAATTCAATTAAAAATTTAAATATCTCCTTCAGATTTTTTTATGAATATTAACCATAAACATACATACAAATATTAATTATAGACATACACTACCCTCCACAAGTTTGGAAACACCTTGCACTTTACGAATAGACAATCGCATGGCAGCGATCTGTACAGATTTTCATATGAATATATTGTAAGACGTTTAAATGACGATATATATTTTTATCTAGGACAGTGTTACGTCTGTTTATGTCGAAAATATGTCGAATAGTTATAACGCAGCACCGAACTACTCGGAGTTAAATTTCGTGCGTTGATTTGTTCTGCCAAATAGTGCTACATATCAGATGCTGTAGTGATACGCCTGTAATGTTTGCGCGCATTAGAAACATACATCAGAGTGATAAGAACTCATTTGAGTGCAGTTTGATTTTAGTTTCTGTAAAAATAACAAAAATTACTACAATCGTTAAAAATGGCCCCGACATGCCAGATTCCATATGAATTGCGAGTCAAGATATATTTCACAAGAAGAAGGATATAGCATTCGGCAAATATCAAAGAAATTAAAGTTATTTTCTTTTTATTGTATACTTTTATAGAGTGTTTCTAAACTTGTGGAGAGTACTGTATGTAAGAATTAAACTAAATGAAGGAAACATGTGAATGAAGCAAGCATATAATATAATGGACATATATCATATATATTACATTCATTGATATTTATTCCTCTCCTTTAGTTTCAGCCTTACTATTCTTGTTCCAGATAAAAAAGAAAATGTTCGAGATGTTATTTCTGCCCTACATGTTTCAACGCTATCTCTTATGGAAGTGTAGCTGATATGATATTAACCAGTCGATTTTAAAATGGCGTAAAGTATAATAAGAAGATTAATTTGAAATACGATTAGGTTTCGAATGTGATGAAGTTGCAGCTTATTTTAATTTACAATAGAGACATCCGCACAACTTCTGAAAGTTTCTTGTGGACCACAACCCATGCCTTGTTTTCCATCTTCACAGGTACCCCAAGTGTTTCCGGTGCGGTAGTTCCATCTGAATTAAAATTGAAACAAATATAAATTTATTACTATTCGTCTCATTTTATAAAAGAGTATATTGAAAATCTATAATAAAGTATATTGAAAACTTATGTATGAAAATTTTGTTAAATTATCATATTTATATGTATACATATTATATACAGGGTGTCCGATTCGTGAGGGACCAAACAAAAAGTGATGATAGATTGAGTCAAACTAAGAAGAAAAGTCCTCTACCATTTTGCAAAATTTGCAATACTTATTAAGTAATAAGCAAAAATGTCCCGGCGCATGAGAAGCGATAGACCGCACGTATCGAGCGGCGAGCGACGAGCGACACGCGCCGAACAGTATTAAAAAAATTTTTTTTTCGTTTCTTTGGTTTCTTTGGTTTCGATGAGAAAATGATGCGCTATCATTTCCACACCACATTGCGATAACTTGGTGCGTTTTTTAATTTTTTTTACACGCCATTCGGTGTGAAAGTCGCTTTGTGGGTCCACAAAATATTGTCGGGATAAGACAAATTCCGCCGATATTGCACGAAGAATTTTGTGCATATTTTCTATATTTACTATAGTTGTTTCATTTTTAAATTAATCTGCGAATATGAAAAATTGATGATAATACCAAAAAAAAAACGCATCAAACTATCTACCGCAAGGTGGTGCGGAAATGATAGCGCATCATTTTATTGAAGAAACGAAAAGACCGGGCGACTGCTCTTACCACTGAGCTATTCAGCCCCACACCGATATCACTCTCGTCTATTTGTTTATAACTATGGAAAATGAAACGCGAATTTCTTTTCAGCTACGCGTGAATTAAACTAAATCGAAAGGAATTAGGCTCGTTATATATTAAATAACATGATAAGAAAACTAGCGTCTACGAGCCACAGCGGCAAGCGAAAGACTCGGGTTCGATTCCCGATTCAGCGACTTCGCCCCGATATTTTTCTCGTCTACGTATCTTCAGGGGGGTAAAGAGGGTTTTATAGAATTTCTCAAAAATGAGAATCTATATCTTGGTTAAATGCGCCAAGTAAAATATATACATATGCCGTGTTTTCGTTTAAATTTCGTGTACAATTAAAAAGAACTTTTAGGCATTACCATCCGCTGTGGCTCGTAGACGCTAATTTTCTTATCATGTTATGAAAAGACAATACTTTTTAATAGTGTTCGGCACGGTATCATATGTCACGTGTCGCTCGTTACTCGCCGTTCGCGTGCAGTTTACCGCTTTTCATGCGCCGAGACATTTTTGCTTATTACTTAATAATTATTGCGAATTTTGCAAAATGGTAGAGAACTATTCTTCTTAGTTTGACCTAATCTATCATCATATGTATGTATGCATGTATGTATATATGCATACATACATATGTATGCATGTATGTATATGTATGTACATTTTTGCTCATTACTTAATAATTATTGCGAATTTTGCAAAATGGTAGAGGACTATTCTTCTTAGTTTGACCCAATCTATCATCACTTTTCGTTTGGTCCCTCACGAATCGGACACCCTGTATATAGAATTTACAGGATGTGGATACTATAAATATTAGAAAGATGGATATCCCGGACTTGAAAGGATAACGTTTATGAAAAAAATTTTAAATATAAAAGTTTTGATGTTTAAAAATACGCATCTAGTGATGAACTTGAATTTGATCTAGGGGCCAAATTTAGAAGTCAAATCAAGTTTAACTTGATTTAAATGGAACTATACAGGGTGGCAGGAAATTTTTGACCTTAACAAAGTAAGGAGGTAGATTGGCTCAAATTAAGAAGGAAGGACCTCTATTTTTTGTGATTGTCGCAATAATTAACGAAAAATTAAATAAAGAAGATCGGCCAATGCGCGTGGCTAGAAGCACACGACGGCGAAGGTGGTCTGACTGTAACATAATGGTGGCGCACAGCGAAGTGGTGATTGGGGAGGGGAGCACTCCTATTTATATGTCATGTTTGAAATTATTGAAAATGCTAGTTATATTTCTTAACCGTAGTTCAACTACTTCTAAACGGCCAATATTGGCTCAATATAAACTTATATATTAAGTTTATGTATGTTTAAACCTGAGTTAATAATCGGTAGAATCAGGTTAACTTACGTTAATTGAATGTCACTAGAAATTATCTTCTTAAACCGTGTTAGTAGAAACGGGCATTACTGTTTCTACGTTACGATTTTCTCTGCATTGAAGTTTAAGTTTACGTAGTTAAGTTACGGAGTTAAGTTTATATACAGTGATGGGAAAAAGTTCCGGGACGGTTGGATAATTTGAAAAATACGCATCACAGAGGAAAATGACCTAGACAAAAGTTGTAGGATTTTTCCCGGGCAATCCGACGGTGACCTTAGATTTGACCTTGGATAGTCATTTGAAGGTCACATAAAGATTACCTTCAATTTCTTAAATGGAACTCTCTATTTTTCATTGCATATTCTTGTAGCTTATCTCGAGAGCTTTCCAAAACACTATAATTAAGTACCTTTTTATTAAGTACTTTTTGAGTTATAAGGCTTGAAATAATTTCTTAATTTTACATAAACCATAAAATATCTAGTAAACCATTCATTTTTCGATTATCTTACCTTCATACTTTTATGTACAAAATAATGAGAGGAATCAATTGGTGTAAAGAAAACACATAGTTATTTCTAAGAAAAAATATGTAATTTGCAATTAACAATTCCATCACCTTCAAATGACTATCCAAGGTCAAATCTAAGGTCACCGTCGGATTGTCCGGGAAAAATCCTACAACTTTTGTCTAGGTCATTTTCCTCTGTGATGCGTATTTTTCAAATTATCCAGCCGTCCCGGAACTTTTTCCCATCACTGTATATTATTAATACTTAATGTAACGTAATGAGTTATGGAACCTTGTATGGTAAGTCTTAGGCATGTTGTAGAAAATATTAAGATATAAATGGGTGAAATAAATTGGTGGAGAGAAAGAGAGAGGGAGAGAGAGAGAGAGAGAGACAATGGATATAAATTTTTAATTAAAAGGAGTAAATGGGAAAAAAAGAAGGAATAGATTCTCAAAGATTTGAAGCATTCGACAAGTAATAACAACGATTATAGGGAAATTATTAGAATGATTTTAAAAGCGAATAGAAATCAAAATGTTTTTCATTTTAAATCATAACTAGTATAAATTATAAAATATTTTGTAAACTGTAAGTATTTTGATAATTCTAATTTAAAATATTTATATATAAAATAATGAAAAGAATTTTAAGATTTAAACGATTTTTAATATGCTAAGTAATGTACTATAATAATATTAATACATCAGTAATAAATAACAATTAAATAATTATCATATAATTAAATAATTAAATAATTATCATATTATTGGATATATTAAATTACATTTTTAATTCTACTAACCTGAGTACACAGTGTTTACATGTGACATCTTTTGGTAGAATCAGTCTGACAACATAGTCTTTTGCCCCATTAATAGGGAATTTGTGGCCGCTACCATCCGCTAATAAGAGATAATGTTGATCGAAGCATTCGTCTGTTTCTAATTCCTTTTCTGTTTTCAATGGACAAACACTGAATTCGAAATAACCCATGTGACTGGCTGTAAGGCGAACAGTTACATTGATCGTAGAACCTGCTTTGTATCTGCATACAAAAAATAATATTTTCATATAACATAATGATAGCTCAATTCACAAAACAAAAAAATTAATTGGTTTCGTAATCAAATGATGCAGTAGCGGCGCGGTGCTAAGTATAAAAGAAATTCAGACTAACATCAAGAGCATTACGCAACTATTGAAAAACTTATCCGCAATTTTTGTATCATAGGAATTCTTCGTATCACATTTTCTGTCAAGATATTTTTAGAACTAAAACCATAATAGAAAATTAATGGCATTTGCTTATATAATATTAATATAAGATTCCAATTGCAATCAGTTCGAAAATGATGCAATCAAAATCTTAAAAATTCATACCCCAAAAAATATATTTTTGCGTATATATATTTTCTTTCAGCTTTCAGTCATTCTCATGTACACACGCAAAGTGATTTTATCACTCAAGCATTTGGAGCATTCACGAATGATAAATTATGACATCATTCTGTCATTAAATTATGAAATTATTTTCGAATGATACGGGCTAATCGCTCTAAGATAATCCAGTAAACATGATGTCATCTAAAGATGTCTTAATAACGTTTTAATGACTTATTATACATCATTAAAACGTTTTTATTAGCAAGGGAAATACCAAGTAGTGGAATCACCGATCAACTTAAAATATATTATAATTCCATTCTCCTATTAATTCGTCGTAAAATAATACCTACCTCTCAAGTATTCACGAGAAAAACGTGTTTAAAAATTTATATGCTCGTTATGCTAAGCAGAAAAGGCAGATTTTCAGGAAGCGGCATAGCGTAGCGCATGAAGCGTATGATTAATACACTGCTTGTCGCTTCAAATCTTTTCAGATTTTGATTTTTGAATTTTTTTTGTTTAATCCATTGAATCGAATTATTATATTATATATTTTTAGCATTTTAACATACAAATTAATGTTATAATTATGAAATTATTATATTAAAAATTCATTGATTTTATTTACAATTTATTAAATGTTACTTTAAAAGTGTAACTGTAATAATGTAAAATACTCTTGTGAATTTTATTTTGATTGATCAAATGCTTATGAATAATATTTTTTATTAAAAATAAAAGTCTTTTTTTTACATACAATGAGGTTTATAAAAAAAAATAAATTTTCTTATTATTTTCTCTGCCTACTTTCCTTTTTTAAAATGTTTATTGCATAAAAAATTTAAAATTAATTAATAATAATTATTTATAATTTTCATTGCGTAACAAATAAATAAAATCAATGGGTTTTAATGGAACTATAATATATTTCAAGTTGAACTAAATTGCTGATTCCACTGCCTGGTGTTCCCTTTATGAGTGTCATTGACTAATCATAGTTATTCCTTCGAAGAATATAATCACTATTATATAGGTTACTAAGCATCATTGGCCAATGATTTAATAAACATCATTGGTCAATGATGTTTAGTAACCTTGAAAAGTAGAGAAAGGAGCATTTACTGGATTTTTAAAAGTGGGAGATGATACCGATTACGTCACACTGTGTTCATTATAGTGGACTTAACGTCATCTCACGAATATAAGATGGTATGTAGCAGTAAGTAGTAACAAGTAGTGATAATGCAGTTAGAACTCTATTCAATATATAAGTAATTTTAATAAACAAGTAATTCGTTAAATTAAAAAATGGTTTGCTGCTGTATTTGCGGATATTCTAAAAGTATTGATCATAATGGTCTTGCTGTGTTTCATTATTTCTAAATAACATAAGATAATATTTTTATAAGCTTATAGGTTAGTTTCTCAAGTAAAATATTTGATATAAAAAAAGGATATGTAATTAATAATGATATTGTCAAGAAAAATTGTTTTTAATTTTGTAATTAATTTGAATAAAGTTTGCTTGTAAAAGGTTTCCTACAAGGATCACAACGAGAAGTTTGGATGCAATTTGGGAATAAGTTAAATTGGAAACCTTCAAAATCTAGTAGAACTTGTTTTCAACATTTTAATAATGATTGTTTTTTTAAATCTGCAAAAAAGCTAACGGTGATTTTATTTATACTGTGACGTTGCCGTCCTGTCGCGCGTCCATCCGCCCCGATAATTTTAACGCGGCGCAAGCCGGGCGGCCGCACCAGAATCTACATCGAGAGAACATTATCGAGCTCCCCGGAGAGACGAGCAATATTATTATGTTTTTCGTGTTTATTAATTTTATTTATCATTTTTTGTATCGAGCGAATTTCGGGCAACCCGCCGGAGAAGATTCGGAGGGCGAGGAGCGCATCGAGGGATCTTACATCACGGCTGACGACGCGGCGCTTCTCGACAGCCAGCGGGGGACGAAATAGCGCCCGAAAGATCGAGTAACCAGACGCCATGGGGGCAACATCACCTCTTTTCGACAAGGCAGAGCAAAGGTCTGATCGACGCTACCTCCCCCGCAGAAGGGAGGAGCCTCCACCGGACCGTTGAACATGGGCCCGCGACAGCGAAATTTTGATTTAAGGCCATTGTGCGCCAGGCGCCGAAATACCTCGCAACTCGCGAGGCGCCGGGATTGCTCGCGTGCTGCGACCTGATTGGCCGCGGGGCTGCGCACCCCTCTACACGGTCATTGACGCCGCTATCGACCCTGGATGCGGAGATCCACAGATCATTCTGGTGCGGGAGCTCGACCTAATTAGTCGCTTGTTGTCGTTTTGTGTAAAAGCTTTTGCCGTTGTCGAGATACCTGTGAAGGACGAGGCCGAGGATCATCCCCAGTATGAGGACTCATATCGGTGAGGTTGCTCATCTCTTTATTGTGAGCCACATACGCGATTCAGTCTGCCGGCCGGCCGTTCTGCCACCGTCGCCATTTTCGTGTTTCGCTATCGGCTCGGTATCAGGCTTCAGGCTCGGTACCGAGCCGTCGATATTTTGTGAATTTTCGGGCGATCGGAGGCGAGCGACCGAGGAAAAGCGGAAAATTGTAGGCATTAATTGATAAGGCAACGTTCGTCTCTCTCCGGGTTTCGAGGTATTCATTACGCGTAGCTATCGACCGCCGAATATCGACCGCGTGCGCGAAGGATCGCGAGAAGCGTATACCGCCCATGTTGTCGTATCGCTGTCGTTGCCGCGTGGAATATTCCCGTAAATTATCTCGGGGCGATTTTTGGTGTCTGATTGCGTGGATGTCGTCGTCGATTGTTAAGTGTGCGTGTGAGCGTTTAATGTATTTTATCGTATTGTGTGCGTTAGAGTATTTACGTCTTTGTCGCGCTTATTATGCCGTCGAGTAGAGCGTAATAAATGATAATAAAATATTTGCGTCTTTGTCGCGCTTATTACGCCGTCGAATAGAGCGTAATAAATGATAATTTGCGTCTGTCGAATTTGTCGCGGTGCGAAATAATCGCCAAAGTACGATCAAGAGTGAAACCTGAGCTGTTTTCGCGGAAGAAAGAGGCGAACCGCCGGCAGAGAAAAATCTCCGGCCGCCGTCGGCTATCGAATATCGAACATATCGCTCGCTTGTCGCATCCGAGCTCTGTCTTCGCAAAATTATTAATTATTTTCGATCTATGATTAAATATGCTGTCGAACTGTTAAGCTGTCGTTTAGAATCGTGAACTGGGAAATTGCGAGGAAAAGACTGTAGTGATAAGTCGTCGATCTGGTTGCCGAAATTAAGATACGTTTTGGGTAATATTATCCGCGAATATTTCCGTGTCGAAAATCCTTTGTCTTCTGCAAAGTATCGTTCAGTCCAGCAAACTCCGGCCATAAAAACGGGCTCGGATAAACGACAGGATTGTCTTAGCGCTCTCGCTTTGGTTGTCGATTTCGAGCGGACATTTGCTGTAAATACCGTCTTATTATTCGTGCCAGGATTAATTTGATTATGTATTTTGCTTTCTTATTTTTTGAATTTATTGTGAACCGTCGTTTTCAATCTGATTTGTTATTCAAGTTCATTTTTACATTTCTCTTTTATATTATTTCTCTATTAATAAATTTGTTATATTTCTTTCTTAAACTCACATAATTTATTTGAGTGTTAGTCTCTCGTGGTTGTCGATATCCGTCTTTTCGTTTGTCGCATTTTGAACTAGTGAAGCATTATCAATTGGCTTTCTCTAAAATCCCTCCCCTCTACCGTTAGGCGAGCTAGTCGGCCCGTGGCGAAGCAGGCTATCATTTTTCGCGCTCTTTGCCGTTTCGTGGAAAACTGATGCGTGAAAGCATCTGGCGTCCGTCTTATCGAGATATCGAAACGGCCTCCGCTCCGCTCGCGCGAGAACGCCCTCCATCCCTGTTCCTCCGAGCGCGAGTACATTAATTTCGCTATTTTTTTTTGACGGCGTTTTCGCTCCCTCGCGCACGCTCCCATCCAACACCTCGAGGAGTGTCGCAAAAAATTTAAATTGATTGAAGAAACGTCGCAATACATATTGAGAGATTAAAATATGTAAGTTTTTTATTTTTATATATTTGTACATATTTTTACATATTTTTTGTGTGTATTGTATTTTTATCATGTATGTATTTTTATCATGTAAGTTTCTGTATTATTAAATTTTGATTTTTGCAGATAAGAGACTTTAATCCTGTTATTTTCAATTCTTACGCAAAAATGTACAGAAGAACGTGACTCAAAAATAGAAGTATATTATTCCAATTTTAAAGATTAAGTAGATTTTAAAGATTTAAAATCTACTTAATTTTTTTAAATATATTTTTATTTTAATATCTTTATTTTATTTTATTTATTTTTATATTTAATTAATTTTTATTTTAATATATTTATTTTTTAATATTATTATTTGTTAGAACAACAAAGTATTATGACGGCACTGACATCAGGTGATGCCTTCTTTGATATCTATTGCATATTTTTTTCATTCGTTCATTGGCTTTTGCTCTCTCCGCGAAATCTCATCTATATGTGTAACATAAAGAAAGAGCTGTTTTATATCAATAAATAGTATACAATAATTAAAGAAAGAGTGATTGTGATCCAACGATTTTCTTTTGCTCACTCTATTA